GGGTGAAATGGTCTTTCGTTTATAAGTATATGGCATATAACATCAAAAAAAGTGACAGACACAAATATTACCGAAACTTCACTATAAAAAGATTATCAAGATTTTGGGATTTTGGGGTTAGCCCCACATCAAAATCTGTAAAAAGCAGCTGGTCATGACTGTCCACTTACTTAAACACGGTTCACTTTAATAGTCATAAAAAAACTCTTTTTCTGTTGATATTCGTTATTGGCTGTCGCTGTCAAAAATTACGTAACGGGAGGCTTAACGATTCGTTATTTTTGTTGTACTAAAAACTCCCTAATATGTTAAAATCTCATCTAAATCCAAGCAGTATTTTTCGAGTTAAAGGGCCAAGAATTAGCAGACAGACCGACTGAAATGACTGAACATAACTCATTTTCAAAATGTTTCTCTTTTTACAATACTAGCTAGCCAATTGGCATGGGAGGTAAAACACTGGACTGTAATAATTTTAATTGTTTTTTCTAATCAATCCCATTGTCAAATAAGCATTGCCCAGAATCCCGTATACCCCAAAATGTCCATCGCATCTACTAAAACACAACTTTGGGCAACTGAACATGATGAGAGAAGGACATCTAGACATTGTGTCAAAAATGCTCTGTAGTAAGTACATCGTCAAACTTGCAAGTGGATAGAAATTTCGTGGGATAATGAATCAGCACAGAAGAATATATATGTACGAAATCGCATTTGGCAACATACCGAAACTGGAACAACAACTGCCGCTCTAATCCGCTTGACGTTTTTTGTGGTGATTCCTTAAGGATAATGAGTATAGTCGAAATCACGAAAGATGACGATTACGTCATCATTTTAGTCTGTAGTAAAAACAAACGACATCGACTTGTGAATATTTTTAATGAAGTTTCTGATATGTTAGACAGAGACAAACAGAATTTTATTGTATAAACAAACTGTATTGCTAATTTGCATATATCCGACAAAGACAGACGATGTTTTCGTGCTGCATGATCGATCATATTTGAAAGATGAAAAATGATGTCAAAGCAGGTTAGGCTGTTTTCGAATAATACTTTGGTCTTTGGTGTTCCTGTATTACTCATAACTGTTTTTTTTAAAACAAAAACTCCACACTAAAATTATTATTAAGGTATCACTCAAACCATGAAATAAAATGAAAATAAAAATAAACAGTGAAACAACCTAACTTCGCTCAATCATAATATGCATTTTTTGACATTATGTTCCTCCACATCATGATTTTATCATCGACGTCCATTGTCATAATTTATGGTATGACGTAATAGTCATCTTTCGTGATTTTGACTATATTTAAGTAATCAGTAAAAGACTAATCTCACCTTAAGCACAACATTTCTTAAGTGACGATAGTACCTGAAGGTTAATGATATTTTCAATCGAAGAGTTAATCATCTGTAAAAACAGCTGGGGGAGCTTTGCAGAATATTTTATATTTCATCTTCCAATAATATCAACAAGCATGGTCTTTTTTCAAAATTGTTGGTTTCAGGAGTAGAATGTTTGAACCACCATCTAAGTACACTTATTCGTATGATCAACATGTTATGACCTACACATCCTTCAGCAATGCTGTCTGATGTCTTTGTCGGGATTCATGAAAACCCCTTTAACAATTCACTACCTACGTCTATAGTGCTCCAAAAGAGCTGTCACGCCTCAAAGCATTCAAATTAAGTCGATTCGAAGCGTTTGACTGTATTTTATGGTCATTCACCAAATCCACGATGCTACTTTTTGATAGATACCGAACAAAAAATTTTAATTCAATAAATTCGTTTTGCATCTGTGATTATGGTAAAAAGTCACCCAACTACTTAGAGGAAAGTTTCTATTGATGCTGTTTCTGTGTAGCTGGATTGTCTAGTATAGTTTCCATTTTTAGGATAAAAATTAATTTTTATAATGAAAATAATAAAAGTAAAAGAGTTCAAACACGAAGCAACAAAGATTAAGATTATTGCGTCCTTCGCATCTTTTCTAAGTTATAGTGCGAACAAATTCTGAATTCACATTTCACTTCCCACGCAACTGGCAACATAATGTCATAGCAAGAAATTTCGGAATGTAGACATGTTTTTTAGATGTTCCATAATAAGTGCATACTTCACGAAAAAATATGTCAATTGTTTCCGTCGGTCTGTCTGTCTTTCTGCTGATCGTTGACCCTATATCTTGGAAGCGCTGCTCATATTTGGATGAAACGGAAGGTTACTACAACTACGACAAGGATGCAAAAGCTTTTTAGTTTTAAAGAATCGAACCAGTAGCGGCGGAGCTAGAAGCAAAAAACGGAATAAAATGATAACCGCCAAAACTTAATTTTTTGCCATTCCAGAGGTTCCTGTTGATTTTTGGAAAGACGGAAGGGTAAAAAGTTGGGTTTGGAGGTTGTAGGGAAGGGGAGTGTGTCTGGCTTCTTCATACGCTTCTAACTCGATAAGTTTACGCACCTATTGAGATTGATATATAGTATATACAGGGTGTTTCAGTTTATTGTTGCATAAATTTAAGATTCGATAAAACTTTAAAATTAATGCATAAAGTCTATATAAACATGGGTCGAAAATTGCGTGGCTTCCGAAATACAGGGTGTTTAAATTTACTTTCTAAAATAGTTGTTTTTAAATATTTCGAACAATATTTGATGTATAAGAGTAAAAATTGGTATACAAGGAATTTTTGGTACGACAAAACGAACCATGTGCATAGTTTTACTGTAGCCGCTAGAGGGCGCTCTCTACTGTACCTGTAGTATATTAAAATGACCGAAACATTTTTCTTAGTGCAATTTTTTGCTTTTTGAATAAAAATACTGATTCTTCGCACTTTTCAACATAAAAAAGCTCTCTTGTGAATTTTCGTTATAGTTAGCCGTTTTTGAGATATTTTTATTTTTAAGGTTCGATGATTTTTTTATTATTTATGGGAAAATAATATTTTTTTTACATTTTCGATTTGGGCATTACAAGTAATTAAAATGATCGTTTAGATTGTGTTTTTAAACACAGCAATAATTCCTAACTCCAAATAAACACAAAAAAAACAGAATATTAATTTGTTTAATTTTCCAATATTATTTTTAACAAATTAAATTAATTATTTTCAACTAAAATGCTATTGAATAGTTAGGAAAAACATACAAAATCTAAATTAGTTGCTCGAAATGTAAACCCAATTGTTCAATACACAATTCACATCCACGAATGATCGAAAGTGGTATAGCATTATTCAAATAAGGCCTTATTTCATCACATGCATTCCTGATTCTGTCTATTAGCATATCGCTTATGGTTACGGGAGTCTTTTCTTTTAGAAATCCCCACACAAAAATTGTGGTTGAATTATTCCTCTACTGAGTAAAAAGGGTTTTCTGACGTTTATAAATACCACCATCCGTATTATCTCTTTTACATGGCCAGGCAGTTTCTTGTACAATTTAACAAGCATGACGTTAGGCTTTTTTGAATTGAGACTAAGCCCATGTATTGGAGGTTTCAAATGAGGTTCGGACGCAAGTTTTAAATAGTGATGTCAGCACCTCTGTGAACAAAATTAATATTTTTTTTCACATAAACTATGCAATTGAAAATATATTCAGAAAAAGCTGTCATGATATTGCAATGTTTGAACAGTGTACGGCATGAATGTATCTTAACTTTGCCAAGTATGGTTCTCAAAATTCTTTTTTGAAATATCAACAAAACCTGGACCTTGATAAATAGTTTTAACTGCTGTATTTTATAACAGTGAGTCGTTAATTTTAGGGCAATAACATGTACTTGCTTAGACAATGTGAGAATTTCTCAAAATAAACACCCAAATATTTGCGCACTGCTGTCACAACATTTAATAATTGAACAGTACTGTACACAAGTAATTCAGATTTATTGTTGTTCAGGACCAGATCATTGGTATCGCAATAATTTTCCATTACATCTCAGGACCTACAATACAAATACAGCAAGGTCATTCCTTATTACTACGAGTATAATTTATCTTAATACGTCTAAGTGCAGTGTAGTCAGGTTTTCCAGGAAAACGTCTCTTTGTAAATTTGATTACAAGATTGGCAAATTTATCTTGTGAAATACTACGACTTCTATCAAATGAAAGTACTCTATTATTCACTACTTGAGGGCCATTTGAAGTATGGTGTGATCGCGTGGAGAACAGCGTGTAAGACACACATGAAAAATCTTGGGACAATACAAAAGTACATTCTAAAGGTAATATATAATAAGCCGACAACATACCCAACATATCAATTATATACCGAAAAGCAGCACCAACTAAAGCATAAGTTACGCCAAACTGAGCATGACTATGATTCCCGCCATACAGTGAGAGCATGTTCACCAAAGCCTCATGTCAATGTCATGCAGAGATCATTCCAACACCTAGGACCGAAGCTTTATAATAGTTTGCCTATTATCTTAAAACAGTATAATTCTATGCAGTTTAAAAAGAACTAAAAAAGTGGATTAATGAAATACCTCGCCTCCGCATACATCAGCTACTTCTTTCAAATATATATAAAAATGATTAAAATCTTTTTTTAACTGTCAAGAATTTTTTTTAAAGTTCTTAATATATACATAAGGTTAAGCATATCCAAGCATGCAGCAACTAAAGCAAATGAACTTCCTAATATGACATTCTCTGATTCGTCGCACACCCGGTTATGACTATTGTACCTATAATGACAATTATACTGATATACTGGTAGACTGAATATTGGATAGACGTCTCACCACGCACAGGCTTTGCCTTCTGTGGGTATTTCATATTTATTTGCATGTTTTTTATTTCACCTGTAACATTTGTAATTGAACTGAAAGCCAATAAATATTATATTATTATCAGATCGAAATTGGAATATGCATCGTTAATTTTGGAACCCAATTTACAACTGCTACATTGGTTCCCTTCAGTGCATTCAGAGAAACTTTCTCAAATTTTTTTCTTTTAAGGTTGATGGTGCATATCCTGAGCCGGGTATATCTGAAAGTTTGTTACTGTCTAGGTTTCCAATGCAGTCTTTAGAACTCAGAAGGAAGTGTGTGTGTAATTTCATGCATAAGCTGCTGCGCAATCAAATTGATGCTAACGAGATTGTGGTTCTTCAAAACTCTAATGTCCCATGTATTAAAGCCCGTACTTTTTAATGTGACAGGGCTTGCACAAATTTATTTTTGAAATGTGTGATAATTTTAATGTTATACACATGTTGATAGTTCAAAACGTATTTTATGAGTATCTGGGAATTACTTAAACAATTTCACTTGAGTGAAATATGTTTCTTTATTATTTTTCTTGTTTCTTTTTTCCTTCAGATAGAATCACCTGCTTCTTCTATGTTTTCCTTTTTTATTAGTTTGATTTATCTTTTATTAGGATTGTCCTGTAAATGAGATCGTTGAATCGCCTATGGCATGATCGGTCTTCAGACATAAGATCCCTAGTTAGTTCCTAGAAGCCGTCTAAAGTTACTAGTACTATGACTACTACTAGTTACATACTACTAGTACAACTGCTACTGAAAAACGTTGAACGCAGTCTAGATAGCTTTTCTGAAACTTAACATGCGATTTGCCTGCCAAAGTTTTGTTGGCTCTGTATGTCCAGAACGAAGCAATGCTTCAGAGATGGTCAGGGGTCATCACACTTTCAGAATTGTTACATTGCAAGACCATGAATGTGACGTTGTAAGTAGAAAAAGGAAAAAATCCTATAAAAGTTGGCTCTTACCTCGTATGAACTGTTTTATTTGAAAAAGTTGCTTTACATTTTCATTGGCCTTTCAAATAGTGTGTTTTGCCCTCCTTTCATTTCCAATTCCAAGTGTCACTGATCAGACGTCGCAGAATCACAAATGCAAATGCCTTGGAGTATTTCTCTTTTTGCTTTGCACAGACCATCTGTAAATTAATGAGAACATTTGCAATTACCTGAACAAGCTGGATGTTAAGGATGGATAAACAAACAGCAGTGGGGGTGCGGAGACATTTGATACGCCTTCTAGAAGGTACTAGAAATCACTGGTAATGACAAATATACTAATACAAACCAGTGAAAATAAATATACATATTTATATATATATATATATATATATATATATATATATATATATATATATTTTCGTGACACATTATTTTTAAAATGATATGAGTCTTAACTATACAGGGTGTTTCAGTTTATTGTTGCATAACTTTAAGATTCGATAGAACTTTTAAAATTAATGCATAAAGTCTATATAAACATGGGTCGAAAAATGCGTGGCTTCCGAAATATAGGGTGTTTAAATTTACTTTCTAAAATAGTTTTTTTTTAATATTTCAAACAATATTTGATGCATAACAGTGAAAATTGGTATACAAGGGTTTTTTGGTACGACAAAACGAACCATGGGCCGCTAGAGAGTGCTCTCTACTGTACCTGTAGTGTATTAAAATGACCGAAAAAATTTTCTTAGTGCAATTTTTTGCTTTTTGCATAAAAAAACTGATTCTTCGCACTTTTCAACATACAAAAGCTCTCCTGTCAGTTTTCGTTATAGTTAGCCGTTTTTGAGATATTTCGATTTTTAAGGTTCGATGCATTTTTAATTATTTATGGGAAAATAATATTTTTTACATTTTCGATTCGGGCATTACAAGTAATTAAGATGATCGTTTAGATTGTGTTTTTAAACACAGCAATAATTCCTAACTCCAAATAAACACAAAAAAACAGAATATTAATTTGTTTAATTTTCCAATATTATTTTTAACAAATTAAATTAATTATTTCGTTCACACTAAATTCATGCTGCAAATTTCTTTCCCGAACTGCATGCGGATTTTCATGTGACCAAATATGTTGATTATGGAAATTTACCACTCCACGTCTAGTGTAGCATGACTCATCGGTCGTTACTTAAAAACTCCCTATTATTATCAATTCTCAATCAAGAATCCACTGACAAAATGTGATTCTTCGTTCTCCGTCCCCTGGCTGTAGTCCTTGCATAGGTTGCAAATTGTAATGGCTTGCTGAAATTCCCAAGGCACCAGAAACTCTCCTAACACTTGTGGTCGGATCTCTATCAAACTCACGCAGAATCATACGGGTAAATCTGCGCTGACAAACATTTATGTTTTGATCCCTTTGGAGACTTCCAAAACCATTTTCAATTATTTGGCGATGCACTCTTGCAAATACTGAGCGAGTTGGATGTCGTCTGTTTGGAAATCTTCGTGCGTATTCTCTGGCTGCTTCTGCTGCGTTTCCATTTACAAAGCCATACACAAAATGAATATCTTGATTGGAGAATAAAAATGGCATTTTTATAAAACTTACAAAAAAAACAGGTAAAAGAAACTAAATTTCGTGCATTCACAATTGCAAAAAAACGTTTCAGGTTTCAACAGACAACAAAACTAACTGTCAACTAATTGACGTTTAACCTTATTCTGCTTTCAATTTCAAAACTATTTGCAGGCTCAGCCTACTTCTAAAAATTATCAAGATACTGACTTTTTAACGTTATTTTATCATAAATAATTAAAAATGCATCGAACCTTAAAAATCAAAATATCTCAAAAACGGCTAACTATAACGAAAATTCACAAGAGAGCTTTTTTATGTTGAAAAGTGCGAAGAATCAGTTTTTTATTCAAAAAGCAAAAAATTGCAATAAGAAAAATTTTTCGGTCATTTTAATACACTACAGGTACAGTAGAGAGCGCCCTCTAGCGGCTACAGTTCGTTTTGTCGTACCAAAAAACCCTTGTATACCAATTTTCACTGTTATACATCAAATATTGTTCGAAATATTTAAAAAAAAACTATTTTAGAAAGTAAATTTAAACACCCTGTATTTCGGAAGCCACGCATTTTTCGACCCATGTTTATATAGACTTTATGCATTAATTTTAATAGTTCTATCGAATCTTAAAGTAATGCAACAATAAACTGAAACACCCTGTATGAAAATTCATGTATGACCTAAGACTATTGTAAATACTATATTTCAAATATTTTAATACATCTTAATTATTATTAGGTACTAGCTGACCCGACATACGTTGTTCTGTCTTAGCTATGAACTGGTATTAATAATGAATAATGAAAGGGTAGATATATGGAATATAGGTAACTGTATAGGGAAGTGTTTGTACTGCCATGTGGTTAGCAAAATACGTTGGCAGCAGTGTTATTCCACAACAAGTTACCTTGAAAGTAGGCATACAATTATGTGGAATGAATTTTGTTGCGCCAAATGACGTCATTTGATAGCAATTATTGTATTGCTGGATATGAGTCAAAAAATGTATAGAATCTGGAATGAATTTTGTTGCGCCAAAAGACGTCATCTGAAAGCAATTATTGTATTGCTGGATATGAGTCAACAAATGTATAGAATCTGGCTCATAAATACTTTCCTGAAGCTGGAATTAAAAATTATGGTGGATACACCTACAAAAGAAATAACTGAATCACGAAAAAGGTGACATTAATTTTCATGGTACAGGAGCCAAGAAACATCCGAATATCCATCAGCACCTAGAATTTACGCTTTTTTACAATACTTCTCACACATATCCAACAATTGGAACCACAGGTGAAGGATTTTTCTGGTGTTTCGCCTTCAACAGGATGAGTATCATACCCCTAGCCCATGGCAAAATGTCATAAAGCTTTGGTTTAAGTCCTAGGACTAAGGACATTATTGATAACGCTTCCATATTCTTGAGCTAGCTTTGTACTCCCTCAGTAGTTTTGTCTCAGATAAATATACATTGTAATTAAGCCGGTAAAAGAATTAAAACTGAAAAAGCTATCATCCATAGTGACAATACCATCTACTGAGTCCGAAGACCTTCACGCTCCTTTCAGAAAAAACTTCATGAATGAATTTATCTCATCGACCGTTAAATCGTGCATTTTAAATTACTTATGTTCCAGGTTTTTTCGTAATCTCTTTCCATCTTCTCTTCTATTCACTGAATATAAATGTGGTTTTACTATTTTCCTATATGAATGGAGGCATTTAACTTTGTATCGACAACTGTCGGTTAGTGTATCGAGCAGTTAATTTTTAACGTCTTCATTGCGGCGTAAGATACCGTAAAGTGGATTTCATTACAATAGAGTAAAATGACGGAATGAGATGGGAATGATGAATAACAATAAGCTTGCTTTTTAACTCCAAGATCGATCGAATTCTAAGGTTTTGGTGGTAGAAAAAAATAAACGTTCTTTTTTGATGGATGTATCAAAATTGTAATGTTACACCAAAATTCCCCCAAATAAGATACAGAATATTTCAGCGACATATTTTACTAATTTGAGCTGAGAAAATATCTGAAGATTCTTAAATATCGTTTACTGTATCCAAAAGATCAGCTGAAGAAACCTCTACGTTGGTCTTTTTCACAATGAGAGAGGTGCAAAAATGATATTTATGGAAGATACGTGACTGAAATGTTGCTAACTTTTTCTAATAATAATTTTAATGAGTGAGCAAACGCTAAAAATTATTCGAAACAAAATATATCTACTTAAATCAGCATCAGTATCGTCACTCATTTTTATGGCATATTTGAGGTTGTGGACGTCATCCTAGGTCTATTTTCTTGGGTAAAAGAGGTAGATAAACATCGGCCTTTTTTCGCCCATCATGTATGTATGAAAGTTTAAAATTTAGGTAATTTTACTTATATTAAGTTCAAGTACCAATATTTACATCTACAATATGTTCATAAAAATGAGAAAGAGCATGTATCAAGGAAAAACTAGTCAAACCTCCCATGATTGTTCAACATTATGGATGTCTCTTAAGTTTTGCATATGGAAATACAACAACACGGTAGGTGGTTTTAAATGACTTTATTGTTTTTCGAAGTATTCTCCACGAAGATTAATACACATCTGCATGCGCTCGAACCAATTTTCGAAGCACTTATTCCACTCGTTTGCTGGCAGATCCAAAACGGCATTTTTGAATGCGTCAACTGCTTCTTCCGGTGACTTGAACCTTTGACCATGCAGTCTGTTTCTAATTTTCGGGAAAGTAAAGAAATCGTTAGGACTTAGATCGGGACTATATGGAGGATGGTCCAATATTTCCACGTTTTCTTCCGTTAAATACTGCCTAGTTTTTTAGGCTGTGTGCGAGCTTGCATTGTCTTGGTGGAGGAAGATTCTTCTTTCGGGGTTGATTTTTCGAAGCTCGGTGATGAATTATGGCAAACAAATGGTGGTATACCAATCCGCAGTAACAGTTCTTTGCTCATTAAGAGGAATTGTTGCAATATAACCCAATTTTGACACAAATGTAGCGATCTTTTTTGAAACACTTCGAGAACGGTTGACTTTTGTTGGTTTTTCTTCACCTTAGAACACCCAAACAGCCGACTGTCGCTTATTTTCTGATTCATAACAGTCTACGATTCATCATCACTAACAATACTGTACACATTTTTGAGTTTCCGGAATTGAAACAGTCAAGCGTTTTTCGACGTTAATTAACCCTGGCTGCTTTCTGCTCTTCAGTTAACAGGTCCAACGAGAAAATAATTTTCTTACTCCTAATTTTTCATGTAAAATTTTTTGAACTGAGGTCTTTGAGATCTTCAAGGACACCTGAATCTCACGATATGTCACATGTCTATCTTCAATGATTACAGCACAGCATCGACGTTTTCCTGAGTGTCTGCCGTTTTTGGTGCACCCACCTGGGATCGTCGCTAATGGTACCCATTCACGTACAGGCGGACTGCAGGCAATGGACTGAAATTTGACCTGCAGTCGTGGCCTGCGATATAGACCATACACGTTCAGTTGTATACAAACGATGCGGCCTGCAGGCCATCGCCTGACAGTCCTAGAACTGCAGGTCGCCTCATTATTTGCCATACATCCACAGTCCGTCGCAAAAGTTTCGCAGTTCTTGCTTGTAGTGTGTAGACAAAAGAACAATAAAGCAGTGGTAAAATGTTAAGAAAAAAGAAACTTATTTTGTTACTTTTGATTTTGCTATTAACTAATGAACGCGGAAAAAATGGCAAACGTTTTTGGGTGAAGGAATGGTTAAGAGATCGTGAAAATTTATCTCATATGAAACTCCTGAAGCGATTGAAAGATTCCAGCAGCGAAGATTTTAAAAATTATCTTAGGATGGACGAGGCTTCTTTCAGAAAATTATTAACTTTAGTTAAACCCCACATAAAACGACAGAATACAGTAATGAGAAAAGCCATTAGTGCTGAAGAAAGGTTAATAGTGACTTTGCGGTATCTGGCAACTGGACGTACATTTGAGGATTTGAAATTTTCTGCCATTATTTCTCCCCAAGCACTAGGAAAAATTATACCAGAAACCTGCGAATGGATTTACAAGGCGTTGAAAAAGGAATATATGAAGGTAAGTTCATAAAATTTTGGAATACAGTGCATAATATTTTAGAAAGAAATGGAATAGTTGAAGGAGATTGAAAGCCAAAATTTTTAGAAGCGTACATTTATAAAAGTACCTAGGTATTTATTTTTAACCTAAATACCTCGCTAATATTCTTATTAAAAATTATGTATTTTATGCTTGCATTCCAAAATTTTCGCTTTTGTCGTAATTTGAAGTAATTTTTTATGTTTTAGTAAAATTTCAAAATAATATTTCAACTACGTATTTTATTGAAAAATGTATCCTTACATAAAAACTTAAAGGTGAACAACTTGTGTTATAGAAACGAATTTTAAATAAACTTTTGATTTCTATTGTCAAAAACATAGACAATAGGTAATAATGAACAAGTCGACAAGTAAAAACAAAACTTTAAGTATGTAGTCATTGAAGTTTCGTAAATTCATCGATTAAAAACCAGCAATTCAGTTAAAGATCCTTTAAGTTTCGACGTGTTGCCGCTTTCCTCCATTGTTTCAGGGGTAGTTTTATCAAGAGGTCTTATATAGTTTATATTTATGTCGAGGTTTTCTCCTTCTGCATTTGTGTACTGTGTTTCAGAAATAGTTGCTGAGGGTCGGGAAAGAGTGACATTTTGTTGCTGATTGTAAGTTGATGTGTGTTGCGAAGAAGTGAAAGTTTGTTGTTGCTGATTTGTTAATATGGGTTGGAAAGGAGAAGGAGTTAAAGGTTGTGGCTGTTGATTGTATTGAAGTTGCATTGGCAACATAGTATTATAATGAGATGAAACGCTATGTGCCGAATTTATACATATATGAGATTCCTCGCATAATTTCTTTTGAACACCAAGGAAGAGAAGACGGTGAAGTAATAATTCAGCATACATTTTCTGGTCGCTGTCCATTCGGCGCAGTTTATGGGCCACATTTTCTCCAATACTGTCACATTCATCATTTTCTCTGTCCAACTTAGCGCAAATCCTTTGGATACTTTCTTCCTGTCCATACTTCTTTCTTTTTGCACTATTAGAAGATCTGGAAGTTGATGGACGTGAATAGGTTGATGACTGATGCGGTGTTTGTGGTGGTGATAGCTGATATATTTCAGACGCTGCTTGCAACGCATCTTCAGTAAGCGGTGAAAATTGAGTATCATGCTGGGTGACATCTTCCTGAAAGTACAAAATACAAAATGTATATTATAATTTTTTTTACAGTTTCCAAAAACATCAGAGGAGTGGCAAGAAATAGCTTATAATATTGAAACCAGATGGAACTTTCCTAATTGTGGAGGATCTATTGATGGTAAACATCTGCGAATTGTTAAACCAGCCAACAGCGGGTCATATTTTTTTAACTACAAAGACTATCACAGTATAGTTCTCATGGCCCTTGTTAATGCTGATTACGAATTCATATATGTTAATGTAGGCTGTAATGGGCGAGTTTCTGATGGAGGGGTCTTAGAATATACAAAATTTTACGATAAACTTATAGAAAAAAAGCTAAATTTGCCTTCTAATGACGTAACAAAGCATAATTTAAATTTCGTTTTTGTGGCAGATGATGCGTTTGCATTACATGAAAATATTTTAAAACCTTTCCCGGGAAACAATTTAACAAAAGAAGAATCTATTTTCAATTATAGACTTAGCCGTGTGCGCCGCACGGTTGAGAACGCGTTCGGTATATTAGCTAATCGCTTTCGAGTATTCCATACTCCAATTAATATGCAACCTGACAAAATTGACAAAATTGTACTAGCAGCTTGCGCGTTGCATAATTTTTTGAGACGTTCTAAAACTTCATATATAACGAGAAATGATGTTGACACCGAAATTATTGACACAGGGGATATAATAAGGGGAGACTGGAGAGCAGAAAGACCATTAGATAATTTACAACCAGGATATGGTCGTAATGCTTCACGTGAAGCCAAAGAAAATAGAGTGAATTATAAAAATTTCTTTAATACTGTTGGAAAAGTTTCCTGGCAAGAAAATTTTATTTAATCAATGTACCTATTATAATATGTATCTTACTTGATAATTTTGTAGAATTAAAGAATTTATTTTAGACAAGAAATAAAAAGATTTTATTTGATTTTTTTATTTGCAAAAAATTTCCTTACCTCATTATTGGCATCGTCACCCTCCGACTCCGACTCATCATCATTTGAAACTGACATCCTAGGTTCTTCCTGCGAAGCCGTAAAAAGCAGTAATTTATAATACCAAAGAGTTGGCTCATACAGCTCTTCTGTAGATGATCCACTTCTTTTTGATTTTAGAACTTTTTTGTGCTCCTTTCGAAAGGCACTTCTAATATTATTAATTTTCTTTTTTACCATATCCATCGAAGCATTTTTGTCTACGGTTTTGCAATAACTTATAAGTTTCTCATACGCCTTTGCCTTTTCTTTTCGATTTGAATACTGTTTTGACTTAATATTCCATAAACTTGGTAACTGTCGATAAATATCAATAAAACCAGTAACAAACGATGGCTGATTTAACGTCACATCAGACATTTTTTACCAAAACTGTGTACACAATTTTTAAATACAATGAAAGTCGCTATCGTACGACCCGGACTGACGATTAACCACCACACACGTACACACTTTGTGCAATCTTTGTAAACTGCAGGCACAGACCTGCCGGCCACCTGTACGTGTATGCTGAAATTTGGACTGACGGCCAGATCGTTCACAGTTCGGGACTGCAGTCCGCCTGTACGTGAATGGGTACCATTAGCGTCTATTTATGCACACGATTTGAGTCGTGCAATAGGGTCACCCAACAATGTTCGACAATGCAGTCAGATAGGGACAATTTTTCGTCGAGTATTGTTGAGATACATACAAGCGCATGTATAAATAGACTGATATTAGGTGGAAGAGCTCCAAACTTTTTAATTTTTTACACATTGTTTTTGTAATAGCTGACTCATATTTTTGGCATAGGTATATTATATTACCTATTTTCGGATGAAGATGCATTTTATACAAATTTTATCGAAAATGCCACAAAATTTCGGTCTATTGAGAGTGTAACAAGTTTACAATGCTGTCATGACAATAATGATAATTGTCGGATGCTACTATTATCACCGATTTCAAAAATACCTCCCTCTCCCCAGGTAGTAAGAACGGACGCGCCTTTGCCAAAACAAAAAATATTAGGACTTTACTAATAATTCATAGCAGCTGGTAAGTCAGAATCAATAGACCAGTTAACAAGATAGTAAAAGGGGAATGAGATGCGATTTTATGATTGTGCTGTAGCACAATTTGCTCTTCCACAACATACGTATTTTATTCTAGATTTACAATTTTTATTACCATCATAAAACCGCACTTTCATGTGACACCTTCATTCCGTTCACCTTTTGTTTTTAGATTAATCGATCCAACTCGCACGTCTTCTAGTTGGTAATTTGGTATTCTTACTAAACGTCAATTTTATCATATCCATGGTAGCAAATGTGTAACTATCTTAATGTATATTTTATACATTTCTTGAAGGATTACGCTAAGGCACACATATTTTGATGTACATTCAGTATTGTATTAGTGAGATATTGCCTTTAAGTTTCTCAAGAAACAAGTTATATTGTATATACGGTTTATTTTGTTGGACTTCTTTTATCATACATATAGCATGTTTGTTTTTGAAATTCTTGCATCATCGATTAGAATTTCGATATTTAAGGGTAACTTTTTAAATGTTGGAGTCAAGGTTAATGATATAGTCTTTTTATTCGAAAATATGGCTGCCCCAGATTATTAATGTTTGTTACTTAGTGTAATCCTGTTTTATAAGCATCAGATATCCACTATAAAAAACTGTAGACAAATAAACGAATATCAACAATAATATAATTAATTCAAAGTAAAGACGTCATTCTAAAATCATATTACCATACAGTAGTGCTTAAATATAATTATATTTACATACTATACACACTGTTATTAAATAAATTGATAGTTAATTTGTTCATAAACACAATATTGTTCCTTTCACAGTCAAAAACATGATTGATGATGAGATTCATTGAAAGTATTTGAAAAGTAAATAATATGCTCCACTAAATTTTACAGATATGACTAGTTTTTGCCTTTTACTTGCCATGTATAGACAGTACTTCAGTACAGTCCTTTTTTCGTGATAGAAATGTCATGATCTTAAATAGGTATATTCCACAAATTTAGGGAAATGATATAAGGAAATTGAAACAGGAGAAAACACTAAGAAACTTGCAAAATGTTAAGTTTTCTCATCACTCAATGTGGAATTGTTTCCATAATCACTTCGCTAATTTGCGAAAAAGGGCTGAATATTTTTCCAAGTTATCTTTATCTTTTCAACTATACCCTTCAAAATCATTCCTAGAATGCATTTAGAATAAATTCAGTCCAAAATTGGAGCAATGTTTTAGTGCCTTTTTTGAGGACTGCGTTTTAATGATGTTGAATTTTTGATAAAATATTTACATGTTTTCCTGGTGAATTTAGGTAAGCTGTATTATCTTTTCAGTAGTCAAAAGATCAACTGGATATAAACATTTCAAGTAAAATATTTCTAATATTATTTTAGAAAGTGACATATGAGATTGACGATAATTATCAATCTGAAGTTGCTTTTTTTAGATTATTTAAAAGGTGTCATCAGTTAAGTGAATCGCAGTATAAAAATAGTACTGACATATGTACACATAGTTCAAAATTGCAGTTGGAATATTACAATTTGTTTTATGAATAGATAATAGAAATGAGATCAAGTAATCATCATTTTCTAAATAAACTCGACTGAAGACATTCCCATATGTTGATGGAGTCTTTTCCACTTCAGCGAAATTGTATTTTCAATAGATTAGTCAAATATATTATTTGCATCTATTTTTCCAGACTGGTATGGTTTATCCATATTTTTCTCAATCAAATCTCCCCTGTCTTCCGCGGAAGGAGTTAGTCAGTACACACTCCACAAATACATCTGTCAGATGTACAGCCATACTCTAATGACATATTGTAAAAAGCATATTATGCCGAACTATTATTTTATTCACAACTTTGGCGCGTCCCTTTGAATTTTCGAGGATATTATTTTGACACTGTCCACTTGAAGTGCAAATACTTTTTAGACGAAATTAATAATACCCCGTCATTCTTTTGAAAATTGTCCATTATCCCAATAAAAATAGTAATTTGGGGAACAGAAAATTGATGCAGTAGTATGTTGTAGTAGGGGTTGTTTTAATAGCTATTTATATTCGTTAAACAAATTGTATATTTTGAATTTACATTTCAATATAAAACGACTTCAGACGATGAATTTATAAATATTGAAATATAAAACAAATGCTAGCACTAGCATATGTCTATTCCTGAGATAAAAATAAGATGTAACAGATAAATCATCAAACTGATTTGATATGTTTTCAGTCATTTTAGCGTTAGTACCTTTATGTAACTTTTGGAAACTAATAAACTGTTGAATTTACATATGTTATTCAAGTCTTAGGGGTAGGTTTCTCACTTTTTATATTTATGAAACTGTAATAACTTATTCACGTAATTTTACGTGACGATTTTTATATCTATGTATTTATATTCGAAAACTATTCCAATAATACATCTATCTATTGTCAACCTTCACCTGAGTAACAAAAGGTGCATTTTAAGTAAAATATAGACTATATACATCTCATATCAAATGTTAATGTTTACTGCTTTCTCATGGTTGTTTAAAAACAATGAGTAACTGACCGTTTATATTTCTTGGTTTTGTTATGCCTATTAAGCGTGTTATTTCATTTTGTAATAATTACATTGTTTTCTCTTATATTTTTAATCTTTGTAACCTGGTGCTGATTCTTCGAGTATTTTTTATTTTCCGCTTCTGACTGTATGATTTCTAAATTTTTATCTTACATCACTCATTTCTATTGTAGAATTCTAATTAATACAGATTTTGGCATGTATTATCAAAATTTGTAGGAATTATCTATTAGTGCTTTAATTTTGTGAATTATGTTATACATGTTAAATAAAATGTACAATGAAATAATAGCTATTGTTTCATTTCATTATTTTTTACACTGAAACAGCCTAAATGCCAGGACATCGCGGCTACTATGAGGAACACAAATAAATTTTGTTAATCCGATTTTTGAACTGCCTAAGGTTAGTAGAACTGGGAAACGCGTCGTAGATTGTTCCACAATCTCGACATTCTCGGGACAAAGGAGTGGCCGTATGGGCCACTTATGGATATACGAAGTTCGACACGGTTGGGATGGAAGGTCGAAGTCAGATGGGTCTGTGTGGCAATCACATCGCGCGGCGGCATCATTCATGGAGGAGATCTCTGAGGAGCAAAGCTCGTTGGTGTAGCGATAGAAGAGAGCTGGATCGCCAACGGCCCGCCGGTGTGAAAGAGTCTCGAAACAGTATGTTTAAACAAGAATCATCGATCAGTCGGACGCCTAGCTTTTTCCCAGCAGCTGCCGCTATTGACGAGATGTGTTCGTGCCAGATCAAGTTCTCGGTCATCTGGACTCCGACCAGCCGAAATGAATGGTTCCCTGGCAGAACTCGGCCATCCATTGAAATCGGATGAGCGCTAGGACCCTTTTTGTTTGTCAAGGTACAGTACTGTGCTTTGGAAGCATTAAACTTCACACATTTATGTAGGGCTTTCTTATATCGGGAGCCTGGGACAGCTGTTCTGCTACTTTTTCCTCGTAACAGTTCAGGTACACCCCGGAGGATATAGTCTGGTCAAACGAACTTTGCAGTTTATCAGGCAAATACCTCGAACAAGAGTGGCAGATCCGTCGGGTTGATTGACTGATATGGTCTGGTGAAATTATTCTTGCAATTCAATTTGGCAAAAACCTCAACGGGATTAGTCGATGTCATCGGTTCTAGGATAGAGGAAACGAACCAAATTTGAGACAAACACCTAATTTGAGACAGTATGGTGTAACTTTGTATCTTTGTAGTACCATCTTCTAGTAATACCAAAAATTTGTGAACTAATACGCGTTAGTATCCTACATGTGTTTACAGTTTTGCGTGACATCACAACTTGTTACTTCTTGAGAGTTAAAAATATTTTTAATAGTGCGAGAAAAATGATTACTAAAATTAAGGTAAGTTATTTAGAACAATTGTCTGATATTACAAATACCTTATTTATTTTCTTTTACAATATTGTTATTTTATTAGGTATATAACCTAAATATGCTTGTGTAAACTTTTTAACGGAAATTTCCTAATTTGAGATACCCAAGTTTTCCTAATTTGAGACTATCTCAAATTAGGGCCCTGTATCAAGATTCAGATGCCTGGAAACACAATAGTCAGGAGATGGATTATTTAAAAGCCTCAAAAGAATTCGGATAGATACCTTTCCCCTCCAGTTCAAGTTCAGAATCCAGCGGAAGCCTTAAGTTGGATGATTCATCTTCAGACGAAAGCAACATGAAAGCGATGCTGAATGTTTATTTTGTAGGGGTCGATTTTCCGAAGATAAGAAGGGTGAAAATGGGCAAAATACAGCCACTGTAGTAGATGGGCACATAAAGATTGTGAGGAGATTACCAATAAAATTTTATTTGCACTTTCTGCAAAAGAAAGGGATTTTTTGAATAGTATCTCAAATTAGGGAAATAAATTCACAAAAATATTTACTTTTTTAAAATATACATTTTGTCTGTAAAAAAATACATTTGATATTATTTTTTATTTTAGAGTATGCTAGGAGCATCAAATCGCAAGTTTATTTAAAAATATAGGCTCGTTTAAATCAACAAGTACTTTATTTTTCCTTTTCAAAAAAATTATCTCAAATTTGGTTCCTTTCCTCTATAGTATGATAAAATTAACTTCGCTTTATTAAACAAATACCTTGATGTTAATTTCACCAAATTATATATACTCAGTGAGAGAAGGGTTACACCCAGAAAAAATAATTTCTTCAACTTGTTTTTTGGCAACATAATGACTAAATTACAAGCATGCTGTGGCAACAATGTCAATCTTTTTTTGTTTACCTTTGTTAAAATGTCATCTTTTACTTTTTGTGAAGAAAGGTGCTTCTGATAGCTGAGTAGTAAAACTATTTTTAGTTATTGTCCTTTCATTTACTAGTACTAAGCATAACCAAATGCCTCGAGCTCGAAGACGTCCAAATTATCACCATGTTACCGACTTTGACAGAGGTAGAATTATTGCATATCGAAATGTTGGTTTGTCCTATCGCGAAACTGGCCGCCGTGTTAACTGTACTGCAATGACGGTGATACGTGTGTGTCGTGTGTGGATAGAAGAAAGTAGAGGAAGACGAGGAATGCCAACTGGTTCAGATAACTAGTCCTACGAGACCGTTTTGCCAGTACGCGTCAGATCGCTGACCAATGGTTTGTAGAAGAAGGTACACCTGTTCCTATGCGTACACTCTATCGCCGTATTCGAGCCTTTGGACTTTTTTCATACCGTCCACGGTTAGTGCTTCCTGTGACTGCGGATCACTATCGTCAACGTTTGAACTGGAACAGAGAACTGCAACAGTGGGAGGCAGAATGGCAAATGTCATCCCCAGTGACCAATCGCGATTCTGTCTAGGTATGCACGATGGTCGTGGAAGGGTAAGACGCCGCCGTGGACAACGGCGTGATATTGGATTTGCTGTTGAGAGGCATGTACACAGGACTGTTGGAGTAATGGTTTGGGGGACTATTGCCTATGATAGCCGATCACCCATTCTCTTTGTTCAAGGTAATATGACTGCTGTGCGTTTTGTTGGTGATGTCCTACAAACTACTTTACTGCCGTATCTAGACGACCGTCCAGACGTCTGTTTTCAGCAAGACAACGTACGTCCCCATATTGCTCGTCGTACTACGGACTTTCTTCAAGAAGCAGGCGTTAATGTTTTGCTATACGCCACATACTCTTCCACAGCTAATCCACGAAGTTCGAGTTGCTTGGAATGAGGTACCACAACCAGACATCGATCATCTTATTTTGTCGATGCCTAGACGTATAATAATAATAATAATAATAATAATAATAATAATAATAATAATAATAATAATAATCTATATTCCACATTGTACAATGCCATTACAAAAATTGTATAGCCACTACAAAATGAAATGTTGCGTCACTATCACCATAACTATAGTAGTTTTACCTGTGAACTTTTTTGTGTTACATGGTTATTTATCTTAAAACAGCTACAATCTTAAACTATTACATCTCCCATAGAACTCATCTATTGTTTAAGGCTCTGACTGTACTAGAAATTGCTTAATAGTCTTTTTAAATTTATGTAAACTGTTTATGTTTTTAATTTCATTTGGTAGATTGTTAAAACATTTTAAACACATGTAAATAGGGCTTTTTTCTGTGGAGGAGAATCTGTGTATCGGATAAGTAACATTGACTGTTCGAGTATCATAAACAGTTTGCACCTCAAGCTCAAATAAATTTTTATTTTTGAAAAAAAATATGACACTCATATACATAGATGGCATACATAGTCATGATTTTTTTAGTTTTAAACACCCCCCTGCAAGTTTCATTGAAATTTAGTCCCTTTAGCAGACGTACTGCTCTTTTTTGAACCGCAAAAATTTGTTGAATAAACC